TACCAAAGAAAAATCAGAAACTTAGAATGAAACATAGCTACTACAACATAAATATAAGTGAAAAAAATTCTTGCCCATTGTTGTGGAGTGAACAGGGAAGGAGGATAAGGACATGAACAAAGCAAAGAGAAATAATCTCAGTGTTAGGAATGAATGTGTAAAACTACAAGTGCCATAAATTTATTGTAATGGAGATTATTTCTAGCATTGGCTTTCTATGCTACATCTGCCAACAAAGAACCAACATTTGGAATGACTGCTTGTAGTTGTTTTAGAAAAATTGAAAATATGGATGGAAGGAACAAATAGCATAAATCAATAGGTATTCACTCTTATACAATTTTTAGAACTTGTAGACAAAGCATTGGTCAGCTTGTTTCATGTAATTGCTTAGGATCATTAATCTACTTGAAGCACTTGGCTGTATAGTAGATTTGGAAATGATCTGGCTAAACTTAATTTAGATAACACTTAGGTAATGGACACTGATAAATCTCCCAAGAGTTAAAAAACTGGCTGTGGTGCCCAATATAAAAAATACTTACTACCAAGATACTAAATCATCAGGTAATTGACCAAATATCTATCACAAAAAAATACACAATCCTATTTTACAGCATTTCCTATAATTACTGAAAGTTCAAATTATTCTAATTGTTTCTATAGGACACTCCATGAATAGCCTGTGTTGATTTGTAGCTGCAGCATGTTCTGTTTCCAAATTTATGGTTGTCTGTGTGTATAAAGTGAGTGGAACAGCAAAGAGTTTCTAAATCTAATATCATTGTTTCTTTTACATCATCTGAATTTAAAGTAACTTTAAGAGATATCATTGTGCATCCAACTTACTAATTCCCAGAAACATTTTTGGAGACTTGCAACCATCTGTTCTTTTCTATACATATTTAAGTAGAGTTTCCCTTGAAAACATTCCTAAACCATCTTATTCCATTCTCCATCAACTCATTTTATGACTAGTGCAACAAATAACCAAATTCCTTTAGATTCCTATGATGAAATATTATGGTTTCATTTGACCTCATATACACCTTCTCGAGTGCAGAACATTGTTGTCTTTGGAGTGATACTATTGCTTTTTATTAACATGTAAGATGATAATTAATAGTTTTATATTTAAAATAATTTTATAAGACTTTGAACACCCACTAAATGGATCATCTGAAGCATTCTAATGAATTCTACAAATATTTTGATCTCCCACTAAATGTAACCCACTATATTAGCACGATAATTTAACCAATCGAGCTGATATGTCAGTATATTTTATTATCAATTTTATAAGGTATTTAGAACTCAATACATCAATTAACGATTTGCGATTCGATTCATTATTATTTATCACTACCTCAATATTGAGTTTAAAAATAAATAATTTCTTTTTCTTCTCATCGTAAACTAAAAAATGACTGTTTTTTTTTTCTATTACATTCGAAAGAAACATCTATTTTATTTCATAAAGTGTTTATTTTTCTTAAGATTTTTATGATTTCTTTACACTACAAAATGTGCTATACACATAAGCGCGCGCACACTCACACACAACAAAATGTGCTATACACACGCGCGCGCACACACACACATATATATATACTAAAATGGAGAAATGTGTTAACTAAGTTAGAACATTAAGGAAAAACTACACCCAACAAAAACAAGGTCACCAAAAATAAAACCAAAGCCTCCTTCCCTTTCACCATTCAAAGTGAGCGATTTAAACTTAAATTAATGAATCAATCATCGATCGGATTATACCAAATATGAGTTGACTAAAATTGCTATTAATCAAAAAACTAGGATAGTATTTTGTGTTGCTTGCTCAATTCTTTTTTCATGGGCAATCAAATTTAGGTCACTCATTACTCATCGTGCTCTAAATGGCTCGATTCTGAAAGAGACCACTCCGAGTTCAATGTTGACGAATGATGGAGACATGCGCATAGAATATGAGATATGTTTGGGCCCCCATCCTATCCTAGTAGTGTCTTCTCTACCCATTCACTCCTTCCATGTCAAGGCTTTTGTTTCTAAGGTACACAACTACGCAACAAAGGCACACTAATGGAGGATGCGTACATTATTCCTATGATGTCATAGAGATCGGATGATTCCATCGTGGAATCCTAGAGTATGACAATTATAATGATCAAAATATTCCATTTGTTCTCTATTTGATCTTTGTGGCATTCACATAACACATCTCATTATTTGCTAACCCTGACATGGGAATTAAGTGGCACCACTATTTTTATATACATTCTCGTAAAACTTACCCTCATTCTTCAAGATTTTTAGATGCTAATCGCCTCTAACTATAGTTCGGTTCAAATGACTCGAAACCCAAATCGAATCGAGTGAATTGTTCAACGAAAACGGATGATTCTAAATCGATACAATTAAAAATAAAATATAAATTATTCGATAGTAAAGTGAATAATACTTTAGATTTAAAATTTATTAACTTTTAATTTTTAGCAATCAGAATTAAACAGACGACGATATTAGATGGTTTCGGAACCAAAAACCATCTAGAACTTGAGAATCATGATCACCCTTAGCCTCATCTCACCATGTGAGTTCAATATGACCTAAAATTCAAGTTATGATTCTTGATGTGTGGACACATATCCAAACCTTGAGAGAGAAGCGAGCACTATATCAACACGCACTGATTGGCCTTCCAGAGAGCACACCTTCGTGTATTATTTTAGTGGAGATGAGAATGACACAAACAAAAAGCCGAGGCCGAGACGAGAGTGGCAAAGACTGGTAAAAACCGTTAGTTGAGCAAAAGCTATGCGAGATTGCTTACAAGTCTTTAAAGCTGGAAAAAGCAAAAGAGAACGGTAGATACTTTGCTCGATGTACGGACAATAACACTCTTCTTTGACTACCTCTTCCTTTTTCTCTCTCTCTCTCTCTCTCTCTCTCTCTCTCTCTATATATATATATATATATATATATATATACATATAAATACACATCGCGGTAGCTTAAGATTCGATTACGGTATACTTTAGATACTTGATCCGGTGATGATATGTCAAGTTCATTTAAGAATCTATTAGATTCGCTTAGGATCTTATCCGATACTTTAGAAACAAAGTATGATACAAACAAATAGAATTGAGTAGCAACAATGGATGAGTGATCAAAAGAGAATCTTCCATGAGTTGTACAGTTTCTTCCTTCATTTGTTGTCATGTGAAAGAAAATAGTGATCGATGCTTGTTTTGTGTTCTTGAGATATGGTATATATTTGCTACTCGCTGACTCTGTGATTTGACTCATCCACTGGCATTTCATGGCCTCTTACACCTTGTTGTCGTGTTACTCACAACCTAGCAAACAACAATTGCACTCTGTTCATGGCTGGCTAGCAAGCTGATGTCTCCATTCTGAGAGCACTCACAAGATGGACATTGTAGCGCTGCTTGTTTCCACCATGTTCCTATCGCAAGTGCTCTTCTAATGGAGAGCTGCCATGGGCGATGTGGCCTTCACTGTGGCTCGGACTACTCTGTCACCTCAACAGTCGCACGTTGGACTCTCCTTTGTGATGTTAATCCTCCCCAAACCATCGTTTCCATGCTAAGCCGAGCAGATCAGAGCAAAGTCTGGTGTTTGGGTGATGGGAGCAATGGCTGTGCATCATGTCTTCGTTGAATCCGAGCTACCATTCAACGCCCATCGATGGTGGATCATCAGTTTGACTTCTCTCCCTGCCGGTCATCTCCCCCAGCACTTGTGCAACTCATGCTGCCCCCTGTCACCTCCATCGTCCATGGCCTCAAGAGGATTCTTAAGCCCCCACACCGGTCCATTATTAGGACAAATGATACCTTGTCCTCGTGATGGCTCATGGAGGAAAGAGCCCACCATTACCTGTTCTTATGGTGTTACTGTTGGCCATTGTCGGAGGGATGGGATTGGCTGGTTGACAAATCAGAGCAGGCAATGCCCAGTGATGCAGCAGCACCACCATTGCTGCGTGCGTTTGATTTGTGGCCAGGTCATCAGGTGGTCAAATGGTGATCTCGAGAGTGGTCGATCACCATTGCAAGCGCAATAAGCATGCATGAGTAGGAGGGTGGTGGTGATGTCGGTGGGGACTCCTCCATCGAGGCCATCACCTCCATGCCCATCTATCTTCTCGAATGCGTCGCCATGTCCTCGATGCTCTACCCGAGTTAATTATTGCTAGGTTTGCTCGCTAATCTCTAGTTTTTGTGCTGCTAAGCTCCCAATGCACGGTCTCCAATGCAAGATCCTTTGAGAATGGTCAAGCAAAGGTTCCTAGTTGACGACGGAGGCCAAGATTTGCGATGGGAGTTAATTCTCCATGCAAGAACAAACACAACGATTAAGAGATGGCTTGGTTGGTTGCGGGGGAAGAGAACCTCTCGAGTGTCCCAAGGAAGGTCTAGGAAGAGGTGATCTCGAAAGCTCAGTCACTCCCACAGACCTATGAGAGGCTTCTCTTTCCATGCAAAGAAAAGGAGACATTCCTGCTCAAGCACACTCATAAACACCTCCATGGATCTCACACAATGAATACAAAACTGGCACTCCATGGAGGACAAATTAGAACCAAAAGCAAATGATGTGCGTTCCACTTATTGCCCCAACCCCTTCCCTCCCCATACTGATGCAAAACACAGTCACCCAGACACATTGAAACTCCAGAAACCAAAGTTAGAGGAGGACATCTCTCGCCTCTCTCTCTCTCTCTCTCTCTCTCTCTCTCACTCACTCACACACACACACATGGTCACCTTTATCTTTTTTGTTCCTTCAACTGCTTTTCCTCTTCGCCTGCCCCCATGGTAAGACTCCATGGAGAGGTGTACATCAAGCTGCCCGGGGGCAGCGGCATGAGTGCAGATGCTGAGGACTGAGCCGGGCAGGGCAGCTGCTCTAATTTTCCTTTCTTGTTCGGCTGTGTTTTTAATGCATTGCCCTCTTCGAGTTTGGCATTGGATTTGGGTCCAAAGGCAAAAGGAGAGAGAGATAGAGAGAGAGAGTCTCATTGTGGCCACTTTATTCTCCTAAATGGAGTGCTTTGTTTGCTGTTCCCTGTAGCCTGTACCCTGTGAGATGGTGGTTTAGAAGAGCAGAGAGACGGTGCCCTGCCTTGCATTCTTCCTGGTGGCTGCTTCGCATTGTCTTGCTTCTCTTCTAAATCAGAGGTGCTTCTGAGCTTCTGCACCGAGGTTTTGGATTCCATCTGCGTTTCCAAGCTCCTTTGCCTCAAGACCAAGTTTTTAGATTCAAACCTTCTGACGAAGGGCAACAATCCTTTTTCCCTCTCTCTCTCTCTCTCTCTCTCTCTCTCTCTCTCTCTCTCTCCCCTATGGATTTGAGTGGCTGGTTGTGTTCTTGATCCATTGTTCTTGTTGGGTGTACAGAGCCCACGATTAATGCGGTAGATCGCAAGACATCTCTGATTCTAGGCCTAACCCTGGGTTTCTCATCCTTCTCCTTGAAACAAGTTTGATACCAGTGTTTTGGGTTTCTTTCCCTTTGGTCCTCTTCGGCAGCACCAAGAGGGGGGAAAAGTAAGTATTTTGCTGCGGGGTTTTGTTGTTCTCCCCATTTTGCCACCGCAAGATCCAGATTCCTGCAGCGCCTTCGGAGGGGTTGGGCAGCTACCTTGTTGTGGCTGTATGCAGAAGTGCTGGAAAGATGAGAGATGAGAATCCGAAGAAAAGCAAGGTTTTTTTCGCAGAAAAAATCGATCTTTGTTCACCTGCTGTGTTTGGCGTATGAGATTGCTGATGTAGTCATGCTTTATTGTCTCATTTCTCTGGGAGCAGCTGTCTTGGCCCAAGACCCTTGTTAAAAGATGGTTCAACATCAAGAGCAAAAGTCAGGAGAGTCATTCAAATGATGCTAATGGCAAAGGTACGCTTGATATCTTCTCTTCCTGTTGCTGTTCTCCTTCGATTCACTTGCAGCCAGTTGTTTAAAGTAGTTGGTTTGGTCTAGAGGACTCTACTCCCTGAAGTTTGGTTCATGCTTCCGTGAAAGATCTCAACTTTCCCTTTGCTGCTTGCTAGATATGTGCCAATTGAGGGCTTTATAGTTGTTTCTTGAGCCCAGCTGATTTTTTTTGCTACAAGAACATCAACTCAATCCTCCTCCCTTTTTCTTCCCTTAACCTGTTGAAAAGTCGCATAGAACACTAATCGAATCCCTGCATTATCCCTCAGGACGGAGTGGGCAATGGAGGGCCAACCTATCTGAGAAGGTGGCATGTACAGTCAAGAAAGGCAGAACAGGTTACACTCTCGACACTCCTTTGCTTGTCAAATTTAGACGACAACTAGATGACCCTTGCCGTTTGTTTCTTTGATTCATCTGCCATATTCCTTCCTTTCTCAGTAATTATCTGCTCTGTTCCTTAGATGTATCATCCAAGAAGGACATCGAACAAGTTCAGCGAGCAAGGTTTGATCTTCATTCAGCTCGAATAACAGATGTTCAGGACTACAAGTAATTCAGTTTTACTTCCCACACTTTGATTCTTGGCAACATGGTAAATGAGTCTTGAATCATCCTGTTCTGTTGGTCGGCAGGATCTTTGCTGCGACCTGGAATGTGGGTGGGAGACCCCCACCAAAAAACTTGAATCTCTTGGACTGGATTCATGCTTCTTCTCCTGCAGATATATATGTTTTGGGGTTAGTCTCTGAACTCTCCTCCATTAACCAGTTTAGATATTTTAGCACTATCAAGAAGCTATAGCACTACAAACTCCCAAAATACATCCATATGTCTCACCAGACTAATGCTTCTCAATTTTCAGGTTTCAAGAGATTGTTCCACTTAATGCTGGAAATGTTCTTGGCACAGAAGACAATGGTCCAGCTAAAAAATGGTTGTGGCTTATTAGAAAGACCCTGAACAGTCCCGACACCTGTGGCTCTGATAGCTACCACACACCATCTCCTGTTCCAGATCCTATTTTGGAGTTAAATGCTGATTTTGAGAGGTCCACAACAAGGCAGAAGAATTCAGCATTCCTCCACAGGCGTTCCTTTCATTCTCTTAGTCGTAGTTTAAGAATTGATGGGGATACCATGGTGCCTCAACCGATGCTGGATCGCCGATTCAGCGTTTGTGACAGGGTCAGCTTTGGGAGTAGACCAAGTGACTTTGATTCCAACTTTAGATTTGAAGGATCATCTGATGATGAGAACATCGGGGAGGAGTCACCTACTACCATCTTTTTCTCACCGTTTACATATGGCTATGGAGCTCCCACATATGTTGAAGAAAGGGATAGATTATCTGCAAATTCTAGGTAATCCTACCATCAACAATTTCTCACTGAGGTCTCTGTTTGTTCCATTAGGCATCCCTAGTCTAGCACATGTTATTGCTTGATTAATATACAACTTATTCCCTATGATTTTGTCAGGTATTGCTTGGCTGCAAGCAAGCAGATGGTTGGAATATTTCTTACGATCTGGGTGCGCAGTGATATTAGAGATGATGTGCGAAACTTGAAGGTTTCCTGTGTTGGCCGGGGACTAATGGGTTATCTTGGGAACAAGGTAACTCCACAGTTCTTGATTTACCAATCTGTGGTTGTTTATCTCTTTGGGTTAGCAATATAATTGTTGGCATATGATTTCACAGAATATGAACTATATTCTTTTCCTGTATTAACTCAGACATGAGACATGGATATTCTTTTTTTTTTTCTGTGTTTTTCTATTGGAATCACTAGACTCAGGCTAGATCTTCTTTCCTTTTTCTATAAAATGTGCAGTAGCCTGTAATTCTCCTTGCTTTTGTTAATCACCATGAATGAAGGAGGACATTGTTGCTTCTTGCAGGGTTCTATATCGATCAGCATGTTGCTGCACCAAACAAGCTTCTGCTTCATCTGTAGTCATTTGACCTCAGGGCAGAAAGAGGGGGATGAACTACGGAGAAACTCAGATGTAATGGAGATTCTAAAGAAGACTAGATTTCCGCGAGTGCAGAAAGGTGGCAATGAGAAGTCACCTGAAACGATTCTTGATCACGAGTAGGCCCATTCTTCACATATATTTGAACTTGTGATTCTTTCCTCTCGAGAAGGAATATGCCAGTACTTTCACTGAATTGACTTCCATTCCTTCTCTTGCTCCAGTCGCATAATATGGCTTGGTGATTTGAATTACCGCATTGCTCTTTCATATCGGTCAGTGAAGACTCTAGTGGAAATGCGCAACTGGAGAGCATTGTTGGAAAAGGATCAGGTGGTTTACCAATTATTTTTGAAGCGTTATATGTGTTTAGTTGTAGTCACTATGTTTCTTAACATGGTTTCCCATGTATTCAGCTATTAACAATTTGACACGGTTCGTAGGTCGTTGTTTTATGGACAATGCATAAAGATTTTTGTGGCATAGAGATAGTTATGATTCTTGCGATTCTTCTTTTCTTTGCCAATTATGAAACTGTGGTACCATAACTTTAGTTACTTCTTGTAAAACAGCTCCGAATAGAGCAACGATGTGGCCGTGTATTAGTGGGATGGAAAGAAGGAAGGATATATTTTCCTCCCACTTATAAATACTCAAACAACTCAGATCGTTATGCAGGAGATGACATGAATCCTAAAGAGAAGCGACGAACACCTGCATGGTAAAATTTGAAACTTTATGTTTGGGCTTGAAATATTTTTCTTTCAGATTGCCTTAATCTGAATTTTGAATCTCATCTTACTATATATTTGTATGAAGGTGTGACCGCATATTATGGTATGGGAGAGGCCTTAATCAGTTGTCTTATGTTCGAGGGGAGTCGAGGTTCTCTGACCACAGACCTGTATACAGCATTTTCACAGCAGAGGTTGAAATGATCAACCATAGTCTATTCAGGAAGAACATGGGTTATTTTAGCTCTCGTGTAGAGGTGGAAGAACTCTTACCACACTCGCATGGTTACACAGGACTAAACTACTACTAACATGGATAAACATGCAAAAAAAAAAAAAGGTAATTTTTTGTTGATAAAAGAAGAATCATTCACAACAATTGTATTTTCTTGTTGCATCCATAAGGAAAAATCTACAGAAGTAGTTGTATGTTCTTAAAAGAGAATGATTTTGGTTAAAGATGCCAGATAATATTTTTCTTTCTTTTTTGTTTTTTTTTCACCTTTCAGTATTGATAACTAGAATCTTTTGAATATCTTGTGATGATTGATGAACCACTCTTTACTGTCTTTGTTGTAGACTTTCAGCATCATTTTCAACTAAAAATATGATCTTCAACAACCTCTACAGATCAGGGTGCAGTTCTTCCGATCAAGCATGTATTAATTATACTTAATCAGACCACTCTAGAACTTCAGTTGTTTTACTCCTTGCAACAATACTCCTTGTTTGTTTCCATCAGTTTTTTTTTAATACTTTTTCCACCGTGTACGCAAATAGAAATTTCTATTGTAATCTTGGACTAATTTCATTCATGGCTTACAATCATAGGCCAAAGAGAGCAGCACATTTCTTGGAAACTAAACCTGAAGGTAACCCTTTCTCCATCAGAATTTTTTTCTGCATTACTTACTACCATCAGATGATTCATTCTTTGCATTTTGTGCTTGTTTCTTTTGGTTCTAGTGGGAAAAGAAACACTGCAGTTTTGATGCTGATAAATTTCTAGTCAAGAAAGAAGATTGAGAGTTCCATTCCAGAATAAGTCAGTCACTAACAACATCTATTAACCAGCTTGTTTCACCCTTGCAAACCTAAGCAGTCTCCCTAGCAGACAGTTGATAGTTCTCAGTAGAACAAGAATACTCCAGAAATAAAGAAAACAGAATGAACCAACAAGAAGAGGGGACTCTTGCGGCACCACTGATCTGAAGCTGCCAAGTGGGAGTGATTTATTTCCCTTTTTATTTTAGTTTTTACATGACTTTATTCTTCTGAAAATGAAGGTTTTTTTCCTTTTGATTTTTGTAGAGTGAGAAGTAAAGGTGAATTACAGACAAATAATCATTATGTGCATAGTTTCTTTTCTGTTATAAATGTTGACAAGGATGGATGAGTTCTGGGTTCATACTCATGGCAGTCATGATAAAAGATTGTAGCTATTATGTGGTGTTCAGAAAGCATGGCTTGTGTTTCTTTGCTGCAAAAGCATGTGCCATTCATTGTCTGTGGAGGATCAGAGGTTGCATCTTTGTGTTTCTTATGTTCTTTTACAGGGGATGAGTGGTGAGGGCAGAATTTGGTAGCAGATATGGGGACATGTTTTCTTGGGCACTTAAAAAACATTGTCAGAGGTATTTAAATAAGCAGAAAAAGAAAAAGCACATATTAGTCGCATTATATACATATATGTTTGTATGTGAGGGGTGTCAAAATTTAAAACCATCTTATAAATTTATTAATACTTTTTATATAAAAGAAGCATTAATTCCAAAATAGGTATTAGAAAGGCCACCCACCCCATCCAACGGTATTGTACGTCGTTACATATCTAATGTATTATATGTCGTTGTAGATATATGTGTCAAAATGAAGATTCTATTTGATCCATTTTGTTTTCTTCTAGTAGGGATGAAACCACATGACAAAATGATTTTGATTTTGGGAAACAAAATTAAAACTTTGCTCCAAATCTTTTTAAAAAATTCTTGAAGATGCCAACAAACTTAACTGTAAACGCATCAACTAAGAATATAAAAATCAATCAATCAAATACATATTATAGGAAATTTAGCAATTCAAATATTTAGAGATCCAAATAAATGAATATACATAGCTTTGTCAAAAGATTTATAATTATCATGTTTAAATATAAATATAAGACTATGTTCTTGTTTTCTCGCTCTATCTCTATATGACATACGAGACTGGTACTCAACGCTGCCATCTTGTACGAGATTTATTACAAGACATCGCTCGTGTAGGGACTCTCATCTTTTTGGAGGTGTATAGAAATGACATTGAGCTTTTCATCAGGTCTTGGCTCTCAATTCTCCCATCGATGTGATGTGGACTCAATGTCACCTAATCTGCTACTTGTGCTTCTATCTTAAGTCCCTGTCACCTGAAGTCCCCGTGTTCCAATCACAAACGCCCATTAGCGCATGGAGAATGGGGAGCCACACATTTCACTGTAAATTGGATCATCCAATGCTGCAATTTTGTTCAGAGGGTTTCTTAAAGAATCAAACCTACTAAAATGTTACCCTTTCGATTCAGCGTTGAGATCCAAAAATGGAGAAAGAACCACTTACATGGCTTCTCCTCTGGTGTAATGGTTCTATGTCCCGTCACTGTCCAAGACTTGCAGATGAAGAAGCCGAGGTCTGCATTTGCTGCAGCAAGCTGACACTATAGACACAACAACATTGCTGTTCTGTGTTGCGTCCCGATCAATAGCAGCAGATATAGCCGGTGAGGAGGAAAGAGACGGTCGCCACTAGAAGCAGGCCTCCGAGGCTGCAGACCGGCACTTGGGCGGATGCAGAAGTCGGGTGAGACACCACTGCACGAAGAGAGACATGCGTGCGCACGAACTCAACAATTGAGTCAAAATTGTGGTCAACGTTAGGTACTGTGGAGAAGCTTACCGACATCTGGGCCGGAAACCCGGCCCGGTTCGTCGTGGGGTGGAGTTAAGGCGTCGCCGCTACCTGGCAAAGATAAAGAATCGAGAGACCGTCTACAAGTTCGGTAATATAGAGGTCCCATGTGGGCCCCATACAGTATGGCCAATTACTAGACGAGTAAACAAGCGGCTGAGATTGTTGGAGACAATGATGCATATATACCTGGCTCGGTCAGTGTAGTGCTTGTGTTGCTGCGAAGCGGCGGCAAAGCTCGGGCTTCTGCAACGTTTCCCAAAACCAGAAAGCAAAAAACATCGGATGATAGTGAGACACGGAAAGCAAAACTGAGAAACATAAAACAAGAAAACACAGATCTGAAAGATCCGGAAGGACAAAATGACGAAAACAAAAACATAAAGAACCCGAAACAAAAAGAAGTAACAGAAACGCATGTTGGAGAGCAAAAGAACAAAGTTATAGCGTTTGCTTTAATCCAAAACATGCAAGAAATGCGTGACACGAGAAGAAGGGAAGGGTTCCTCTGACCTCGGCAGAATGCCGTAAAGGAATCGGCGGCGACGGGGGGGCCCGAAAGCGCTGCAGGAGGAGAAGAGCGCGGCGATTCGGGACGCGTTCACGGGGAAGCCGAAGAGGCCGGGGCGGCGGATCAGGTGGCAGAGGCAGGGCGGGCCGCCGTCGGCGCCGAGGACCGCTGCGAGGACGGCCTTGCAGCATGCGGCGGAGGGCGCCGGCGGTGCTCGGGCTTCCTCGGGTAGCGCCGCCACGTGGGGGAGGCAGGCGGACGCGGCTACCAGCTCCTCGAAGCAGCCGATCGGGGCAGGAGGCGACCGAGCGGCGACGATAAGGGCGATCGCCGCCACGGCGAGAGCGAGGGCGACGGCGACGGTGCGGTTCATCTCGACCTCCGGATCGGGTGCTATCTTGATCTGTCGATAATATCTTGATCTGAAATGATATGATGGTAGTTACGAATTAATAACCACCATGCCGGGAAATGGGATTCGAATTAGAAGATCTGGACCGCCCATCTGATGTGGTTGAGCTCCTATGATCGTAATTTAATCATTTATATTGCGTCGTATGTGACATCGGACATATCCCCTCCATTTCAAGTCGGATTTGTGTCTTTATTGGATTGCACACTTGATATTTGCTATACTGACACAATTTTGCTTGATTTGAAAGCTAATAATTCTCATTCAAAGAGCCCAAGTTACACTCCGTCGATCTGATCCTTTAACTTCGAGGCATTTCCGGCGAGCGAACGACGTGGCTAAGAAAGTCCCGGTGATCGGCCTGGCGTTAGCATTGGTGACAATGCTGCTCCTGGGGCTCGTTTCGGCGCAGTCGGGCTGAACCACCGCGTTCATTAGCCTTGCGCCTTGCCTCAACTACATCACCGGCAACACGTCCACGCCCTCCTCCACCTGCTGCTCTCAGCTCGCCAGCGTCGTCCAGTCGCAGCCGGCGTGCCTCTGCTCGGTGCTCAACGGCGGCGCCTCCTCTCTCGGGGTCACCAACAACCAGACCCGCGCCTTGGCCTTGCCCGGAGCTTGCAAGGTCCAAACACTACCTGTCAGCGAGTGCAATAGTGAGCACTCCATCAACGTCCACAGACATTCGTATACTCCCAACTCGAGGGTCTCGGTATCATCATCACTACATGGACTAAACAGTCGATGGCTGTGGTAGCTGTGGCCGGTGGACTGGCAAAATCTCCGACAGCATCACCGACGACTCCGGCAACACCGTCAACGCCCGCCAATCCCGCGCCGGCGACCCCATTCACACCAGCAGCTCCAATACCAGGTTCTACTGCTACTACTGCGTTGGATTCTTCAGAGTCAAATCAAGAGCAGTTGAAGTGATATATATGTTAACTTCTGTTCATTCAAGCAATGTTTGATCAAATGCTTCATTAGTTGCTGAACACAAATAAGAAATGGTTGACTTCCTTAACAAGGTCGTCTCTACATGGGGCAGAAGGTGAATCGAAGGCTACCCCATCCACGACCTCAGACAGTAAGTACTTCTTACAAATCATCTGGTTCTCCGATGCTTACCATTCTCTTCCTCGCCTCTTGCGTCTCCTTCACCAACCTCTGAGTCTCCTGTGAGAGTCGATGATTTGCTTTATTGTCGTTCGTTTTTATGCGTGAAAACTATCAACTTGTATTCTTTCTCCTTCCTCGTGTTTGCTCCCCACTGAAATGATATGTGATTTATTGTACTCAATTCGTTGGATGATTTGAATGAGAAATCATTCATTCTCCTACAAGCATCGTTTATCATAGAAAAACACCTGATGTCAGAGTTCAGAAGATAATTTCATGGCTAAATCCCCAAATTAAACCTGCTCTACTGCTCTGAAGCTTCTTCGCACGTACTAATCTGATAGTTTCAATCCCGCTGGAACATCCAAGCTTAATATGCTTGGTGATCCCATATATTAGAATGTGTGAGGTCTTCTTTTGATCAAATTTGGACTGTCCAATTAAACTGAGAGAACTTAGCTAAAGAAACTAATCGGAAGCAGAGTTCTTGCTTGTCTTTGGGTTGACACATTTTTCCTAGTCAACAAAGCAAATGTCCCTAAGAGTTATCTCTGCTTTTTTATATATCTGGCCAATGAAGACGACTCTCAGCGGAGCAGCAGCCATTCATACAGCATCAGGCTTCCAAGTTTAGAGCCAGGAAAATGGACCAAATCCCCCACCTCGGAGATGATGAAGAAAAGAAGTCGCTTCCAGAGTTCACCCTTCGTCGATTCCAGCTCTCCGATATGGACGAGTTCATGGAGTGGGCGTCCGACGACCGAGTCATTCGATTCCTCCGCGAGCCACGGACGGACAGAGCAGCGGCTCTCGGCCACCTAAAAGGCCGCATCATGCCGCACCCGTGGTACCGAGCCATCTGCGTCGAAGACCGGCCCGTCGGCTGGGTCTCCGCCACCGCGGCGCCGGACTACAGCCTGCACCGGGCCTCGCTGGGGAACAGCCTCGCTTACGACCACTGAGGGAGAGGAATCATGACCGCTGTGGTGAAGAAGGTGGTGTCCGTCCTCTTCGAGGAGTGGCCGCAGCTCGAGAGGGTAGCGGCGTTTGCCGCTGCGGAGAACGGGAGGTCTCAGCGAGTGCCGGAGAAAGCTGGGTTCACGAGAGAGGGAGTGTCGAGGAGGTACGCCATGCCGACGGGGGGTGAGCAGAGATGTTCCCGTGCACTGATCCCATGACTGCTTGACGAATGCTTACGTAGGCAACTCAGAGCGACTGTTATATTACCTTAGCCAGCGTTGAAATGATAAGCTTAAGCAACTCGTCATATCAACACATGAGATCGGACGGATGCTAACGATCCCAAAGATTTGACGTGGCACTGTAATAGCCATGCTCTTATCATTTATTTTTATTTTTATGATTTAAGAGCTCTGGTTTAATTTCAACCCAAAAAACCAAATAATTGGTTTTTGACGTGCCACCTCAACCATGTGACGTTCGCATGGTTGCTGCATAAAAGCAGGATGACGAAGTGCTACCGAGAACGGCACCACCGCTTGCCGATGGCCTCCCTCCTCTTATTTAGTCCCGTGAACTCCTCCCCCTCCTCCTGCGCTCTTAATCCACGACTTCTCTCCACCCCACACTCCCCGCTCCGGCCGCACTTCTGCACTGCTGCCCGCACCCGCAGGAGATTCCGGCGCCGCCCCCCGGTGGGCGACGGCATGGCGTCCCCCTCCGCCGCCCCCCTGCAGCCGCCGCTCCGCCGGAAGGAAGGCGTCGGCGGAGGCTTCGAGGGGTACGACGACGAGGAGGCCGCACTACAACCTCTGGAGCCCGATAGTGCCGAGGTCGAGACGCCCTCCTCCGGCCGCATGATGGGTGGGTCTGTCGGTTTCTCTTGGGCCGATCTCACTTGTCTCTTGGTTTTCGATCGACGTCCATATCACGATTTCCGTTTTGCTTAATCGGGAAGATTTTTTTGATGTTCGAGAACCATGGATTTTGGAATAGGTTTTACCTTCAGATAACAAAAAGGATGTTGATGATGCTCTAAACTATTTTATGTATATTGTTCAGTTCATGGTGGGTTATGTGAACTCTGCTGATTCTGGTGAGGGCTAATTGAATGTCCAGAGGAAAGAGTTAAAACCACTCGCTTGCCAATATTTAGCAGTTAACTAATATATTTTTTCTTTTCCCAAGAAACATTTTGCAATCTGGATGGGCAAGAATTTTCTAAGATATGTTACCGTGATTAAAGGAGATACTTTTTCTTAAAATTTTCTGTCCTGTTATCTAGCATAGTTACTTTTAGCTCAAATGCTTTCAAATAATTGACAACTCCTACCTTGCCCCAGATGCACCCGAGGCTGCTCTATTGTGGTGATGTTTACGTATGTGCCATCTTATATGAGAGTGGATTTACATGTTTACTTGGATAGGTGATTTTATCAAGTTATTTTGTTAATAATCACTGTGCTTCAGTTTGATAATATAGTATTGTAAAGGTTTGTCATGCTTCTATTTCCTTATAAGAGACTAAGAGTTTCATAGGCATTCTTCATAGGTTCAAAGTAGTTAAATTGTTGATTAATCATTCAAGGTTAATCATAGAGGACTTTTAGTATTCTGAGCTTCATTAGGTCAAAACCGGTCTTAATAAATTGTCATGCCTACTGTAGGGACTTCCAGGTCAAGGAATCAGCTACTTGTAGCTAAAGGAGATAAATTGTCTAGTTATACTGCAGGGGAGGCACAGTTATCCAATACAAACATTCCTCAGAGGAGCAGGTCCAAGATTAGCAGCATAACATGTTTTGGAGTGGATTTGACACCAGACAATTTTGCAGTAGCAATTGTGTATTTTGTGCAAGGAGTTTTAGGCCTTGCTGGGCTTGCTGTGAGCTTTTACTTGAAGGACGATCTTCACCTCGATCCCGCAGAGGTCAGCCATCGTATTTTAATGTCTGTTACTTTCTAATCCAAATTTTAGAATGCATTCCTAATTTGCTTCTCCTTTTCTGAAACATTATAATTCTAAGTGCAACTTTTGGTTTCATTTTATCTTCATTTTAGGAATACCGGACATCGTTTAAATTAAATATCTGACTACCAACTGGATGTCCTATCTGGAAAGTAAAGATACTAAAATATTGTAGTTTCAAAAGTCATTTCTTCAATTAAAAATTGACACTATTTTTTTATTGGTTTAGACAGCAGTTATAACAGGTCTATCTTCTTTGCCATGGTTGATCAAGCCTCTTTATGGGTTTATCAGGTCTGCAGAATCTTTTATTGCATTGTTTTCTATAATTTCTTTGCCATCTACATGCATATGCTTGCTTAAATGTTTGTCTAATGGCAGCGACTCCTTCCCACTCTATGGCTATCGAAGAAGGTCATACCTTTTCTTGTCAGGAGTTCTTGGAGCACTTTCTTGGAGCTTAATGGCTACGTTGGTTGATAGCAAATATAGCGCTGGAATTTGCATTCTTCTTGGATCTCTTTCAGTTGCCTTTTCAGATGTTGTAAGTCTTATAGGTTTTAGTGCACTTGATTTTGCAAATGTTGTGTTGTATTGTTTTGCTACTGATATATCCATTTATCTGGTCATCAAAGTTTGTGATCTTTACGATCTCTTGTAACTTTTTTATATTTCACACTAAGATGAGTGTCTTTAAAGACTGAGATATGTATTACAGGTTGTTGATTCAATGGTTGTTGAAAGGGCTCGTGGTGAGTCACAGAGCACATCAGGATCCCTTCAGTCTTTGTGCTGGGGATCTTCAGCCTTTGGTGGGATCGTGAGTGCATATTTTAGTGGTTCACTAGTGGATGCATTTGGTGTAAGGTCCGCTGCACCAGCTGAGGTCTATTTGTTTCTTTATAGCTTCTATATGTTTATAGTTTGTGACTTTGTATTGTCTTCATAACTTTCAGATTTGTTTTTGGTGTTACCGCCTTTCTCCCACTAATGACATCAGCAGTTGCTCTTCTTGTAAAAGAACAATCTTTCAATGCTACTAGAGGACATAATTCTTCAAGTGCCAGTTCAGGCTTTCTACAGAGTTCCAAGCAAAGTATTCTGCAGTTGTGGGCCACCATCAAGCAGCCTGACATCCTTTATCCAACATTATTTCTATTCCTGTGGCAAGCAACTCCACAATCAGAGTCTGCCATGTTCTTTTTTGTGTATGCATCAGAACATAATCATCTATTTCATTCTTAATCTATTTGCAACAAAATTCTTTTCTGGAAGTATGCCTCTTGTTTCTAATCTCTTGCAAGTTATTTCTGTAATGGTATTGACTGAAAGAAGCCACATTATGTTCACCATTACATTTCTATTGTTGGATTATACTTATATTATATTCACAATGAAAGATATGGTTGTTTCTAAGTAGAGTTGGTCCGCATCCATCTTGGTTTAAATAGTTTAAATATAACTGCTAAAAAGGTACCAATTTTTTTGGGACAGTAGGGAACATATAATAACTTTTGTTCATATCTGAGAAAAAGAAATTGGAATCTACTAGCAGTGCTTATACATCTATAACATCTGATCTTTACCCCAATTTTTAGAATCTTGTGAAATTATCAGGATTAAGTTCTCTGATTTTGAGTTCTTTCCTGGATCATTTGTGTGGTTCTTTTTATTCCATGGGAAAATGTTATGTGGCATTCAGGGATTTTGTTTACTTGAGTTATAAGCCTAGAATTGCTACATGAAGTAGCCTCTAATCTAGAGATTGTTTTAGTAAGGCCAAGAACTGGTACATTAAGTAAGGCCTCTAATCTTCTAGAATCATTTTTGTATGCTTTGCTGCATTTTGGTACACATGGTGTTTGAGCTTTTTTTTTTTAATCTCTGAATATTTCTTATTCTTATGAAAGATGGTATATAATTATATTAATGAACATGCCAAAGGAAGTTAGTGTTTTGTGTATATGAGACGTATTTTGAATTTATTATCTGAGTCTGAAATTTCAGTAAGGAAAAAGCTTTATTTTAATATTCATTATATCCATTTCCAAGTCCATTTGATTTGCAGTTCTTGTTGTATAACTTCAATTTCAATAATGAAATCTAACTGGAGAAGATGCACCTGAATCCACCCACAGTAGCCAAAACCTATATTTGTATCTAGAAGTTATGTTACCTCCATCTGTTGACGACTTGTCTGCATTTGGACTTGCTACATTAAATTTGTGTTTCCAAAAACTCTCTAAAATTGTTATCAGGGTAACATTTAGTAACATCCTTGTAAGATTCTCATTTCTTTTATCTAGAATACATTGACAAATGCCTTCTGCAGAAATTTCTTCGTGCCTTCTAGTTTGCTGTCAATGAGAAAGGTTCAGTGCCAATATTACATATATGTCTATATATATACTTATTATGATAGATTCTTTAGACTTTCTCTCTCTTGTTCATGACTGATAGGTAATTTTCTTGTTGGTCTTCTGGTTTATATTCTGAAAGCTAAACTGTGTACACTCTCCTATCTTTATTATCTCTGCTTGGATTTCAGCACAAATAAGCTTGGGTTTACTCCAGAATTTCTTGGCCGTGTCAAGCTTGTTACTTCAGTGGCATCCTTGGTAGGTGTTGCACTGTATAATTCATATCTGAAGAATGTTCCACTAAGAAAAATCTTTCTTGTGACAACAATTTTTGGTTCAGCCCTTGGGATGACACAGGTACATATCATGTATTCTCCTACAGACTATGGACATTCAGATTTCTGTTGTCACTAAAATTTCATTATACTTCACAGGTTTTTCTTGTCACTGGATTAAACCGACAGTTTGGTATTAATGATGAATGGTTTTCCATTGGGGATTCTTTAATTATAACAGTTCTCAGTCAGGTCAGTGCATATTATGTGTTCTGTCTGTTATGCTTTGTTGTCGTAGCTTCTGATGCATGTATTTGTCTCCTGTTTGGCATCAATAGCTTGAGTTAGACAGAGAATGTTCAGAGAACATGAAGCTAAATTTGCCCTTCTTTTCTGCTTATAAGTTTGTCCTTTTACCTGCAATATTAATCTCTATGACATGTAAAAACATACCCTTCATCAGACAAATCCTGTATTTCTGACAACAGCCATACATTTCTACCTTTGGTTCTTAGATTGATTAAGAAGAAGAAAAAGAAGGAAAGAATCACCTTGAACAAGAAAAGAAGACTATTAAATACCAAAAGGAAACATTACTTTCCAAGAGAAATATAGAAACTTATCTTCCCCAAAGAAGAAAAAATATGATCTATTTTTTTTGTGTTGGACATTTTCTTTTTATTTCTATTTGCTAACAAGTGAAAGTTTGAATATGCCGCATCAGTTCCCTAATTTTATCAGCTGTGGGACTGAATGGTCAGGTACAATTTATAAACCCACCAAAGATTTCAAAGTCATCGTCTTCACATGATACAAATGTAAGAAAGAAGTTAATTAGTAGATATATAATTGGTATAACCATTAGACATCAATATAACAAAATATGCTAACACATGACGGGGTTCCTATTTTTCAATTGTTCTACATCGACTAGAACTGCACTACATGGAACTTTTAGCTAGTCATTTTCCCTAGACTATGAAATTTCAAGCTTTAGTCATTCTTTACGATTTCAATGACGGAAAAAGATCCATGTAGCCGATCCCAAATAGTTGGGACTTACGGCTTTGTTGTTGTTGTTGTAGTCATTCTTTATGATCTAAATATAGATGATTCCTGTTTCTTAATATCCACAATCACTGAAATTTTGATATGTGATGCAGGCTTCATTCATGCCCGTTTTGGTATTAGCAGCCAGGTTATGTCCATCTGGAGTGGAGGCCACCCTGTTTGCTACACTCATGTCAATATCAAATGCGGGCGGTGTCACTGGTGGCCTCATAGGTGCTGGCTTCACTCAACTTCTAGGTGTCACAAAGGACAACTTCGAAAACTTGGCTCTGTTGATTGTGATCTGCAATCTCAGCTCGATGCTGCCTTTGCCTTTGCTTAGGCTACTTCCAGAGGAGGAAGAAGATCTGAAGAATCTCGACATCGAACAAGCAAAGTTAAATTGAGCATCATATTTGAGGGAACATCTCTGTGCCATAGTCACTGCTAGATCCAAGATACCAGGTTGGAATTCCCATATAGTGATTCATGCAACAACTAACCCACATACACAGTCCTGCATTCATCCAGTGTTTTAAGATAGCAGGCAGCTGTAGGTTCTTTCATATTTTACCACTCATTAAAGGAATCACCCTCAGTTTTCAGATCACGGCAGATTAACATGTATTAGTGTATTATCGTTCTTTCCGATTCTGTTATTGTAAATATTTGTAAGTGAAAAGTAGCTTTATGCTGCTATATTTTTACTGTGTGCTTACAGTCATTCAAATACTTAGTTGATTAATCTGTTTAGGGATATCCAACCTGTTAAAAGCTAGTTCATGTATCTTTTAATTTGGTCAGGATGAGCTTCTAAGGAACTCCAGTGCTTGTAAATCTATCATGCAGTGCATCGCATGATTTCAGTTGCCATTTCTCTTCGATCACATCAAATCCTTGCGACAAGAATTCCAATGCACATGTGGTCATATGCTACCAAGCTGACATCGCTGGGGACGTTCAAAACAATGAACATAGTGATTGATGTATAATGATATCCATTGGTATTTGTAACCATCTTTGCTGTTTCAGATGCAGTAATCACTCCATGGGAGGTTCGGCTGTGAATTTTGCTGAGGAATACAGAGACACATCCCGAGCTAATTTCGGAGAGAAAAACCTGAGTATAATCCCAGCTGTGAGTTATGAAGAATGTTGCTGGTCATCCATCAACTGCTTGTCCCAATTATATATTTCCCTTATAATTATACCTCTTTAATATCTCGATCCTAGATTTAAAAAATTTATATTGAAATATCTATAGTTATGAAAATAAAATAATTAGTCCTATTTATCCTAGCATCGTCGATTTTACCAACGAAAGATGGAGCACATGCAATAATGATACAAAAATAATGGACAAAAAGATAATTTTAATGTCTTAGTTATGTTTTCTTTCTTCATAGTGATGGTGGTGGACAGTGACGTCGCTGGAACTGCGGGTGGCTGTTGTGGTTGTGATCGATGAGAACAATTCAATGGTCGATGAGAACGATGCGGGGATATCCTTCAAGATGAGTTGGGTGAAGTCATAGAGGTGGAGTTGAGGACTTCTATGGTTTCTTGTGGAAGGAGGAAGAGCGATGGCGAGAGGTGAGACAATTGGAGATGAGGGAGAAGATGATGTAGATGCTGAGCGTCAACATATGTGTCGTCTTCTTCCTTCTCTCCTTTTGTCTTATCTCTCTTCATCACTCTTCCTCCTATTCCTCCTCCTTCCCTCCCTCCTGATCCCTTATCCTTTTTCTCCCTTTTGTCGCTCTTTATCAGCACCGATGTAGATGCTTAGCGGCTATTTCATTGCTCTACATCCGCGTCAGCATCGACGTCTGCATCTTCTTCCTCTCCCTTTGCCTCACTTCTTGTCGTCATTCTCTCTCCTCCTCCTCCTTCCCCCGCTAGAAGTTGCAGAAGTCCCTCAACTTGACCTTCAAAACTCCACTCGACCTGTTTCTAAGGACATCCCCACATTGTTCTTATCGACTACTATGTCACTCTCATCGATCACAATCACAACAAACACCCGTGACCCCATCGGTATTATCGTCCACCACCATCACTAAGAAGAAAAAACACATAATTGAGATATTGAAATTACCTTTTTGCCTATCAATTTTGTATTATTCCTACACCGTGCTAGATCTTCCATCGATAAAACTAATAACATTAGGATTAATAAGATTAATTATAAAAATTTTAATATAAAATTTTTAAGTATAAAGATTGAAATGTTAAAGAGATCTAACCCTAACAAATATTATCCCAAGAATATTTTACGTCAACGTGGCACCCACTCTCCCGGTAAAACAATTCGGCACAAGTCAGAACAATTCAACACTGAAAATGTTTGGCACCCTTTTTTTTTTCTATTTCGTAGGATTCTCCCGATGCAACTTCGGTGGATGCACCACTTAAGGTCGAACGATAATCCCTTCAAATCTTGATGTTCCACTTAATTAGTGGTGTGATCTAAGGGGAAAAGTTGCTCCTTTGAAGTGGTACAAGTGCCGTAGAATTCGTGTATATTTTTCACCCCTTCTATCGCTAATTAATCGCAAGAAACTTGTATGCAAAGTATATAATCTTGATGCGGGTGTTCACGAATCAACATAGTCATTCGAACTTTTTAGTACAACAACTCTTGTGTATACCCTTTTCATCAGAATGTCCATATGCCACGATCCGTGATCGAGGCACGGTCTCAAGATTCCTAAGCATCGGTTTTCAAGAATCAAGATAAGCAAAAGATCCGACTTTCGAGATCGCATGCTTTGACGATGTCTGATCGGACTCCAACATGTAAGTCCATCACCTCCAATCCTATGAGAAACGAACGAAGGTTAGTGTTTGGATCTCCAAGATAGAAGTAGAAAGCTTCGAGTAGAAAAGAAAGAGAAGCAAATGCATATTTCAAATATAAATTGATGTTTGATGATTTCTTTTAAATTATATTTTTGATCTAAAGGTCTGCTAACAGTAGCATTTTAGCATTTATAATGATATTAATATAATTTATAAAATTATTAAAATATTTTATAAAATTATTTAAAATCATAAGATTATCAATAAGATTTAGTAATCTAGTCAGACAATGCTATCTTGTACGTGGCTTCTTCGTAAAGATATATGGCGTGGTTACCTCCCAACCCCCGCTTGCACTTCGAGTCCCTTCTCATCCAATTGGCTGCTTAACCCAATGGCTGCATCCGCCGCCCTCCCCCTTGCCGGCCGCATTGCCATAGTCACCGGCGCCTCCCGCGGCATCGGTCGCGCCATCGCCGCCCACCTCGCCTCCCTCGGTGCCGCCCTTGTTCTCGGCTACTCAACCAACTCCGCCGCCGCCGACCTCCTTGCCGCGGAGATCAACTCCCAGTCAATCTCCTCCGTCTCTCTCCGCCCCCGCGCCGTCGCCGTCCGAGCCGACGTCTCCGATCCCTCCGCCGTCAGATCCCTCTTCGACGCCGCCGAGGCCGCCTTCGGCTCCCCTCCCCACATCCTCGTCGCCGCCGCGGGCGTCCTAGACTCCCGCTGCCCCGTCGTCGCCGACACCGCCGCAGAGGTCTGGGACGCCGCCATGGCCGTCAACGCGAGGGGCGCGTTCCTCTGCTGCCGGGAGGCGGCGCGCCGCCTGGTCCGCGGCGGCGGGGGGCGGATCGTGTGCGTATCCTCGTCGCTGGTGGCGGCGCCGGGGGCGGGATACGGGGCGTACACGGCGTCCAAGGCGGCGGTGGAGGCGATGGTGAGGGTGCTGGCGCGGGAGCTGCGTGGCACAGGGATCACCGCAAACTGCGTGGCGCCGGGGCCGGTGGCGACGGACATGTTCTTCTCGGTGGCGGACGGCGGAGGCGAGGAGGCGGCGCAGGGGAACGCGATGGGGCGGCTGGGGGAGCCGCGGGACATCGCACCGATGGTGGGGTTTCTGTGCACCGATGCAGGAGAGTGGGTCAACGGGCAGGTTGTTGGCGTCAATGGTGGCATTTTGTAAATTACACCAAACGCATAAATAACGTAAGTTGCGGATCCTATGTAACGGTATCTATCTGTTGTAAGAATCATGTTTCCCTTGCATCAGAGCCGTCCATTGACATGAACCGCATCATGTGCAGTCGATCTACGAATCATGCTTCACTTCGCACCACTGTTATCATTCACAAGCGTATCTATTGTTCTACCACACGGCATGTTGTAGTTTATCTTCTCGTCCTTGCTGTTTAGGTAGGTCATGCATCCTCACTTTATAGGGCTATACTCTCACTATAATATAATTGAATCTACAAAATCTATTCAAATGAAGTCTATAATTTATTAATCAGCTTAGGAAGTCCATACGACGAAACGTCTCTTTATTTTCTTTTCAACGAGGTTGCTGAAGCTGATGTTCTCATGCAGACGTACGTACATCTGAAGGCGAAAAGAAACTTTTATGCTGTATTGGTTTTCCTGTAGAACATAAGATATGTTCATGTAAACCACTGTAAGCAATTCACAAAAAAGAAAAAGGTGCTAAAGAAATATCAAGACCTACCAGAAATAAATAGGGAGCAAAGTTGTAATAAAATTTTCTGAGGCAAGAAGATTATATAGTTTATCTTAAAAGACCAACTATTTGCAGGCATTGACATGAGCAACACAATGGCTTAGCTTTTCAAATGTAGTTGGAGAAATCAGTGCTTCGATGTTATCACGTTGAAGTCAACAAAAACTAGTCATAAAAATGTTGATCCATAATTCCAAATAAAATCATTTCCTGAACCTCTCCTAACAGCATTAATCTAATTAGTCTCTTAAGCTTATTTCAAACTGTTAAAACCACCAAAAACAGGGCGGTTCTCAACGTTAAATGCTAAAAGAAAAAGCAGCAGCCGCAGCAAGAATATATTTGTTCTACAAGTCTGCAGAAACACATGAATTATTGTTTAATCAATTGAAATCATGCCATATTGTCAATCAAACTGAAATAGAGAGACTATTTCTCTCATTTACAAGGCTACTATGCTATCATATAAATAGTTGAACAAAGTTATTTTATGGAATTTCAATGGAACATAAATGATATATACCTGCATGGAAACGACTTTTTGCTTGGTTCATGGTGTTTGCAAAAGCTCAGTGATGGTCGCATATTCTCCACCAGAGGAAAATCACAATGACAAATGGATCTAATCAATGTGACAAAAGAAAAAAAAAAAAGAGGCTTCTCCACACAAAAGGCCAGACTACTTTTCTGCAAAGTACCAAATCGATGCTATTTCAAGTGAAGAAAGACATTCTTTTTCCTGGATGCAAACACCTAATGCAGTAAAATGGCATACTACGGATATATTTGATCATTATCACCATATTACAACTTGGACAGGAAAAATGAAAAATATTACAATCTTCATTGCAGATGCTATGAAAATTGATTAGTATCAAGTTATGGTCCTAGATGTTTCATACTTCAAACCTACATGATCGACAAACTGTTGATAAATATTATTACATGATAGTTTCACAAGATTAATTATGAAGTGGTTAAATGAGGGCAACGAGGAGGAAGACTCAATTAGAAATTTCAATCATGAATTTCAATTATTGTACACAAAAGCCTAATAAGATTTTGCAAAAATAGCAACTTCATCAGCTGGATTACCAGTCATGAAACCCTTGAGGCTGTTCAAAAGGGAAGCATCTTATTGTTGCACCTGTCTATTCATTTACTTTTAGTTCCTCAGCATCACTGAAATTTGCATTGTAGTTAGTAGACAGGTTCTCATCTTATAGTTACAATTTCCATAGTTTGATAAAGAATAGAATAATAAGCTATTCGACTTCGCACCTAGCTGACCATGGACCCCTTGCCCATTTCCCTTCAGTAATTACCTCCTTCAACACCTCATACGAATTCACATCTGCAAAATTACTGTAAAGGCACCCAACCACTCTCAGCAAAGTCAAAAGGAAAATATACGTGCAGACAATGCAGTTCTATCATGCTTCACCGCATAGATGAGACAGAAAAAATAAAAGAAACACATGGAACATCTAAATTAATATTCTCTTCTTGGTTCACAGGATAGGCAATATTGCTGGAAAAATGCTAGAGTGCGTAGTGTGGTTTGAGGATACCTAGAAGCAACAAGAAATGTCTTCATAGAACTAATACAGAATATATGGTGGAACATTAAACATACTTGCGAAATTACTGGCACTAAGAAATTTTTTTATGTAGTAGGTCTCCTTATCAAAGCATATCAGAGGACCATGATTACCTATCTCGAAATGATGTAGCCCTTTGTAGAAGCGATGCCTGGATGTCCTCCAACCTGCTCTTTACATGAGACACCAAAACTGAAGGCTCCATGGATATCCCAAGATCTTTACCTGGCTTCCCAGGTACATCTCTCCTAGATACCACCACACTCCAGTTAGCAACATCATGAGGCCCAACCTCTAATTTTAAAGGGACACCGGAGATCGATTGTCCAAAAGGAAGTCAGATTGAAATAGACAGCTTAGTTTTTCATATACTGAATGACTCCTCAATAAGATTCAACAAAGATGATTTAATGAAACAAAATGCAAGAATCAACTTATGCAACAATCAGGCTTACACACACATTTCAGGATGGATTGATGAAATAACAAAAAAATCCTGTGTAGAAGGGACACAACTGAAAAGGTAGAAATGGAGAAAATGTGTAGATCACATTCAATAAAAAATTCAGCAGTTGGGATAGAGGTTTAGATTTCTCCATCAACTATATTGGTGGTTTAAACAGTCCAAACTGACTGATTCAACAAGAAAGAAAGACAAAGTAATGAAATTTGTTTCTCAGATGAACCAGGAAGAGCACACAGCTCACATGAACTAGTAAGGACACAACTGTTGGAGATGACATACGAGAATAACATCACAAATGAGTGCCCTGTTGCACTGTGATGGAGATGCCATTAAAATTAGGTGGAAACATACAACAAATAAGCAAATGAGAGTAACAATCTTACCTTCATCTCCCAGAAGTTGAATTTCCATCCTGGAGTCCTTTGTTCTGAATCATCAACTTTGATTTTCACTCCTGCTTTATGCAGTACTTCCTTCAGTAAGGTTATGGCATCCATGACTCCATTTTCTCATCAGCTGTCTTCCAGATTGGCACTATTATCACCTGATGATAAATTGTCAAAAATAGTACCTAATATCTCATAAAATACAAAAAATGAACAGATAATACTAGCAATAAGGCTGAAGCAATATATTTTGTGGTCCTCTTTCTAAGTTTTTCACCATCAAATTCATCAACAAAAAACTACACAAAAGACAAGTATGTAATGCAGATTACCAGAATCATGCTAAACTCAAAAGTCAATTCATTTTAACAAAACTAAGTCAATATTTGTGAATCGATCCGAGATTCCCAGGTACATCTCTCTTAGGGTTTAGAGTTTAAGGTTGTTAAAAGTCCTCTCTATACTAAACTCAAAATGATCACAGATTTCCAGAATCATTTTATCCATGTATAAGTTTCTCCATGATCTCCTTCACAACTCACATAAGTCTTTAAGTTTAGAGAGAGTATATAATACGAGAATATGTATTCGACAACAAATCTTGTGTCATGCAAATGCAATCACAATCAGCTATTTACATTGTGAAACACAAATAATACAATTTCGATTTATTATATCTTCAAGTTTTTAAATCTTCAGGTAACAAACCCATCCTCGAGATTTTCCAATAAATTCCTCAAGTTGATTGTAATCCTTCTATTGAAGTTTCTCAAATAATTAATTTTCAGCAATTTTAAGTTGTCATTAGTTTTCTAATCTTTCACCTTAAAGCTTGCTGAAAGTACTCAAATAGACTAAAATAGACTATTAATATATAGATCAGTTAATAATTTGTTAGCATTGTAATTGTTCTCATCCTACCAGATAAACAAGGTCAAGACTCAATCTTTTATGCAAACAATAAAGTGCTAAAGCATTTTTTGTTGATAGTTAACATAGTAGCCATTGAGAGATGTTTTAGTTAAAGATTATTAGCAACTACTTCTTAGAAAGCAGAGCTTGCATAATAATCATGCATGTGATCCAGTAACAATTTATCTGCAAGGCCAGGATAAAATAAGGGCAAATACCCTAATAAAAAGAAAACGCATCATGAGGAAGCATCCACTGAACTTAAGGTGAACTGAACATTAATAAGTTTGTTTCAAAGAGACAAGAAATGAAGGACCTATTTTCTTTCTTGAAGAACTTGTTGAAACTTCAAAGCATGAATTGTTGTGCATGTACAATCGACCACTTAATTAAATACTTCAAGTGAACTTATATGGCTAATAGCGGAGACCAAAAACCAAGGATGTTAAATCTCAAAGTACCCAATCTTCACCAAAATAAAAAAAAAATTTGCACTTGCTAACTACATATATTTTAACAAGTAGGAATTGATTTGACCAAGATACCACATTGGGTTGTTCATGCTGTTTGACCCCTTCAAAGAATTCAAATCTAACACTAACGCTTACTGAATCTTCAGATCATTCACTAATTTCATACAAGCTAAGTAAATCTACAAGATCGTGTTTGAACTTTCTTACCGTGATGCAAGAGCAACTAAACCCATACCTATCACCTCCCTTAGTTGAAAACAGCAACTATTCCACTGCCTCTGTTACATAAAGGGCAGATAAAATAAGCTGAAAAGAAACCTCGTTCCACAGATGGGGGGACTCCTCTGGCTCTCCTCTCTCCCTTCTTCTTCCCCCCTCTTCGCCTTCCAACTGACACCAACCACCCAACAGAGAGCAACCCACCTCCCAGACTGGACAACCCCCTCTCATTCTCTTCCCCCTCATGTAGCTCTTTGCGCCCATCCCAACTAATATCAATCCCCCTCCCCATACCCCCAACAACCCCACTCTCCATCCTCCTCCTCCTCCTTCAATGCCAATTTTTTAATTTTAATATTCAAGGGTGGCTTGCTTCGCTCGCCTCATGCGTTTTTGTCACCTTGGCACCTGTGACTGTACTGCTTGACAGATTGAGTGGCTTCTGCACAGCTGTGACCATAAAAGATACTCGTAGTT